TATATATATATATATATATATATATATATATATATATATATATATGTATATATATATATACATATATATGTACTGAAGTCTATTCGTTTTTGAAGTAGCGGACTTTTTTCTAGTTCATCCTTCCTGCAATCGTTCACACAGCCGGGCAACCACCGCGAGGTCATCAGAAGAGTCCATCAGTATTAGTGCTTTTGCCAACCAGGGAGTTGGCTCAGCAGGTCGAAGAAGTAGCAAAAGATTACTGCAGGGCAACAGAACTGTCGATAACATGCTTGTTCGGTGGTGCTCCAAAAGCCGCTCAGGCCCGTGATCTTGAAAGAGGTTAGAATTTTATTGATTTTGTTTAGCAGTATTTTGCAAAGTGTTGCTGCTGTTAACGATGAAGGTTATGCGGTATGAAAGTATCCTAATTTTTATATTATATATTATAGTACTGTTATAGGTGTTGATATTATAATTGCCACACCGGGCCGTTTAATGGATTTTTTGGAAGTAGGTAAAACCGATCTTCGACGCTGCACTTATCTTGTGCTTGATGAAGCTGATCGAATGTTAGATATGGGATTTGAACCTCAAATTAGGAAAATTGTTTCACAGATCAGAGTAAGCATTTATTCATTCCTGTTATCAGTCAACAACATTTCCTATCATGATTGCTTTTCTAATAAACATTTTGGTTGTATGGTTTCAGCCCGATCGACAAACGTTAATGTTTTCGGCAACTTGGCCGAAAGATGTTAGAAAATTAGCAATGGATTTTTTGGCCGATGCGGCACATCTGAATGTTGGTTCTCTGGAGTTATCTGCAAATCATAATATAACGCAGATTGTTGAAATTATTGATGAATCGAATAAGCAGCAGCGTCTTATGGCTATTCTTAGTGACATTATGAATAAGGTATTACTTTACAGCTAATTTATAGCTATGCTTTGTATTGATATGCGTTATAAAGGTTGATATAGACTTTATTTATGACGGGAATCGAATGCTTTTTCTCATCAAAAGTGTAGAAATAATAAGTAAATACGTATCTCTATTTATATTTTTTTTCTTTTTTTTTGTAGCATGTTCGATTTCTTGCCAAGTCTATATTCTAATGATATATATCACCCGATAACATGGGATTCCTGGTTACAAATAACGTACTGGATGGATTGTAAAAACTAGTGATTGTGGGTTGAATAGTAACAGGACCATCGAGCTCAATTATTTATGATTTTTGTAATTTTTAACTGTTTCGCAAAGATTGAATGTTGCTGAGGAAGATCTTAGTCGTTTTTAAAGGAGTCGAAGAGCATATCGACGGACAACTACAAAGGAAATACATGGCGAAATAATAGCCAGAATCGAATGTCGCGTTCATCAGATGAGTTATGGGTCAGCAAAATATAAGTCTGGGAAAATTTGTTTGATATGAAATTTGGATTCGCTTTATATTGTATATTCATCGTTCAAAAAGAAGAAAAAATCGTTTTAGGAAGATTGTAAAACCATAATTTTCGTGGAAACAAAGCGCAAAGCCGATGACTTGACACGTTGGATGCGACGAGACGGTTGGCCGGCTTTGTGTATTCATGGTGATAAAGGTCAGTCGGAGCGTGACTGGGCACTCAGTGGTAAGTTTTACTCTTTATTCTCAATTTTTTCTTTTCTTGGAATTGGAAGAGAGAAAAAAGGAGGATTTTGTGTAATGGCAGTGAACTTTGAAATCGATCATCTTTCTTGGACTTTCTCCAATTATGTTGGTTTTGAAATTTCTGATGAATTTTCCAGAATTTCGAAGTGGGAAAACGCCAATTCTCTTAGCAACTGATGTGGCTGCTCGTGGACTAGGTAAGTTGCATTGTTTGGGACGCTTCGAAAGCATCGTATGTTTGTGACGGGATAAATTTCTGCGGAAGACTTGCATCAATAATATTAACGAGATTAGCATTCGGCGAGAGTATTTTCATGTGCTCGCTTGAAATAGCATTCAAGTTGGCGGTGGAAATAGAATTATTCTCTGATTGCATGCGTGTATGTATTCTACTGAGCTCTTGGCAGCAAGTCACAGATGGAACGATTTTAACGAGAACAGAAATTCTCCTCTTCTTTCACTTCTCGTAATACTGTGTGTTATTTGGAAATTTAGGGCATAATGGTGTAAACTTTAAAAAATACTGGTGATCTGGGATGAGGAAGCTTTGTGCTTGTGTTATGGCTCTGGCCAGTGACTGCTCTAGCGCGCGTAAAATGACATTTCAATTTTCTGTTTTTTTTAAAATAGTTCTTTCCCAACAAGTGAATACGATTTCTGTTATTCATAACCTTAAGATAGTTCGTATTTCTTTTTATTCAAATCTCAACAGTTGAATTTTGTAAAGAAAATTAGAAAAGAATGAAAAAAGAGATGAATGTCATCAGATTCACGCGCAAACAGAGGGGTCATTGTTGCTGCGTGTGCAGAATGGTCGTCAGCTGAAGGGAGGAAGTGGTCCGCGGTAAAAAAAAAAAAAAAAAGTAAAAGTTGGGCCGCATCGTACCTTTGCAGTTTGGCCTCTCAGAGTTTGGAGGCTGGACACCTGTTGCACACGCAAATTCATCGACAAGGATTGTATTTGTTATGGATTCAGCTGCCACACGACACAGCTTCCTCAACTTGATTACAAAGTGACGCACTTGAGAATCCAGGTTAGATTTCTCACCAATCGATTCTCCAAGTTATTGTCACTTTCCGGCATTTTGCTAAAGAATAAAGTAGGATGCATCATTTTGTTGCGAAAAATAAGTGAGCATTTATTTAAATATTTCAAATGTAAGAAATCCTTGGGGTATCCATGTGAGTATTACGTGGAAGGTCGGATAGTTTACATCGAAAGTTTATCAGTCAATACCTTTTGGCTTATGTAGCGAAGGAGGCTTGATTTTGGAATATTTTGGAATACATTCATTGATCTGCAGTATATTTTTCTCACTTGTTTAAATTCACGTTTTCGAGAAGATCCTTAATTTGATGAACCCATTTACCAATTGGATATTTGCGGCACAGTAGTTCATTAGCATATTATGTACAAAGCATACATGCTGATATTATAACAGTTTGGATTTAGTAAGTTAAACCCGTGAGCTATCCGACCTCTCCATGTATACGACTGTGTCGAAATTCTTTTCATCTGATTGAAGAAAAGTGGTGAATACTGCGAATTTCTGTAATGAATTTCACTCATGTTGATATTTCAACGCTCTAACATACTCTCGTTCAACGAATGCTATACCGAAATTCCTAGTGGTTAATTACAGACTTAATGCACAGGTATGAGAAGTGAAGACCTATCGATTTCAGAGTTATCTAAATTTAAATTCAGATGTTGATGATATAAAGTACGTCATAAATTTTGATTATTCAAATAATTCGGAGGACTATGTTCATCGTATTGGGCGAACAGGACGACGTGATAAAACTGTAAGATTTGTTTCCGTCTAGAACTGTTGGATTTTCAAATTTACGCTCTTTTAATTGACGATTTTTAAGAGATCCAGAAGTAGTGACCTCGTCCACTTTATTTGCTTGATTGAAAGCACAACGTTGTTTTTCAGGGTATTGCATATACATTCTTCACCTATGCAAATGCTCCAAAAGCGAAAGATCTGATAAAAGTTTTGGAAGAGGCAAATCAGAGTATACCCCCAGAATTACACCAGATGGCGAAGGATAACTTCAGTGGAGGACGTGGAAGGTGAGCTGTAGTCGTACAGTCAGATGAGGGAATAATGAGTTCCAGCGTGATATTCGGCCATTTGACCAAGTTTGGGATTTAGGGATTCTATTAATTTCGAAGTTCAGTTTCGCACTTCAATTTTTTCATCGGAACTTCCCAATTTCGTGTATAAGTCTAATAATTTTAGATATGGCGGCGGTTACAAACGAAGCTATGGTGGTGGCGGTGGTGATTTCGCCAAGAGGCCCCGATTTGATGCACCAGCACGAATGGGTTATGGTGATGGCTGGTGAGCAGTTTGCATTCGGCCTTGGATGCATTCATTCCCACATGTCTAGGCACCATCGTACCTATTTCTTCGAGATTCCTGGGTCAGATACCACACGGCCCTTGGAAGAATGTTTCGAGGAGACATGTGTTGTTTAAAGATCACAGGACAATCAATTTGGAAAATGTTTTTGCATTATGTTCTTTATTGTTCGTTTCGTAGTTAAATGTGAATTGTTTCTCTCTGTGTTTATATATACTTGTGTCTGTTCAGTTTCGCTACTCCCAACACTGAGTCATTGATGATCTTTAGATATATTGGTATCAAATCTTGTTGTAACTGTATTGATGAATCTTCCATATTGTCTGTTTGTTATGATCATTTCATCTTTCTATAATTGTAATCATCAAAGGCACTAAAGTACTGCTATGATAACATAGCTGCTCACGTAAAGCTCCAAAATTTTGTCTGGTAAAAATTATTTTCTAAAATAAATGAAAAAATGAATAGGCATTGTGAAAGAATTCGTAGATTGTGAGGGATGAGGCAGCCACCAACCCATTAATAAGCGGCATTTCTTTTAAAGGTTAGAAAGGGTAAGGGTAAGTGTTCCATTCCGAATCCAACTGAGGATCTTTTAACCCAAATTTGGTTTGGTATCTCATATAGCCGAATGCTAGGCTTATGTTGCAAATACGGTTGAAATAAAAGAATTTTTTATCATTGTTACATACATGGCAAGCAGCAATGTCAATCCGGGTATTCACGATAATTGAAGCCAGCGTGAGCCATCTGTGGCATGCGATGTATGCCAGTGAGTCCGCTTTGTTGTTCCTTGGTGAGGGTAAATGACACCAATTCCTGCGGTGGTCTTTCTGGTGTCAATCTGAAATGAAAGTCATCTGGCAATGACCTGGAGCTCGAGAGATATTTCAACTGGGATGGCTGTAGAAAAGCGCGGGTGGTGGGATGCGACAGTCTGGATTGTGAGGTTGCGGGGTTGGTGGCACTCTGTTCCCAGGTTGCTATTTTAGGTTCACTTATCCCGAAAAAAACCGATATTTGTGGTCACTGGTTCCCATTGATTGTTCAAGCCTGTCCATAATTAAAAATTTAGAACAGGTACAAGTCATTTACGTTCTCGGTGGTGGTAATCTTCGTATTTTCCGACCCAAGTAGCCATCTTTCTTCTGGAACAAACCACTGGCCATTTTGTAGCCAAATCGTCGATGCATTTGTGCTGAACCGAAAATCTTGTCGTGGAATTCTGCATGTGACAACCTGCCAACTGTAGCCATGCATTCTTTTGACAAAAGAAATTCGTGTTTGTGAGGTAGCTGAAAAAAAAACGACATAATTTTGTTAGTTTGAAATACTCAGTACGTAAGAGCACCACACCATTTTTGAATAGTTCTCTTGCTAAGTAAACCCAATCGTTGTTGCAGAAGAACTTGTCAGTGTTTCGGATTGTACATACAGATATACTATACAATTATAATAAACTTCGTCAAATGGTAGTCCCGCGTAACGGAGATAAATTCCCAATTTGAAACTTTTATAATTCATCCCAGACATCAAGTTACCAAGTTAATTAGAAGTTTAAGTTTAATTTTTTACTCAAAAATTTAAAGAACTTGCCCTGACAATAACAAAATCGCCCTGATGCCTGATAATCTCAGCACATGTGCCAGCAGTAACAATAAAGACATCATCATCCGTTGAAGGGTACTTCCGTTCATTTGGGAATTTTTCCACTGAATTAACTAATGAACCAGGTGCCAACGCTCCTAACGGATATGCATTCCCTTCTATTCCTATGAAATTATTGAAATTACAGTAGCTTTATAAATTTATCAAGCTGATGACCTGGATTCTGTTTTAGGAAAATCTCCTAACCTTCTTGTGGACTTTCAGGTATGTAACACGTCGTACTGATAATTTGTCCAGCCTTCATATTCTCCGTTGCTAATATCCATCGTTTACCTTCCCAACCAGCAACAAGCGCAATAGAACATGTCCTATTTGGATCTCGTCGTACTTCAATAACCTCAAAAATGTTAGATTATCTTAACATTCGACATATGACTAGATTAGCTTATGGCGTACATTAGCCATTTCTATTTGGTGCTGAATTTCGTTCTATTTTACTAAGCTTCCTGCACGCTAGAATTATCCTTCTTATTGTTAAGGCTTTTAACAAAAACTAACAGCAAAAAATGGTTAGAACTGCAAAGATCAAAAGTCAGGTAATTTTTGTAAAACCGACAATAGTATAAGAAATATCTTCAAAAAGTTGTTACTCGTTCATCATAAGTGGCATCAGGCTCTTTTGGACCACGTCGATGAAAATCGATCATGAAATAGTCGAATTTGACACCGCCACCGATATGTTGATTGACTTTTCGACCTAGCAAAAAAAAGATTTTTTTTTTTTTGGGATGTGGTGTCAGTAAAATCGATAGCCATCTTATGCAGGACTATCATCACATTTAACGTTCTGATCTGATAGCTTCAAATGAGTATTAAAATGCGATGGATGATAACATATGTAGAGTTAGAAAAGGAGAGATATTTGTGAAGAAAGCAATAACAACAATGATGCAAAAGTCAAAATAAAAACCTGTTTTGGGGTCACGTCCACCAAGGCGATGTAAAACTAAAGGTTCATGCGTGTATTTTCCTTTTGTTTGCTTTTTTAGATCATCCATATCCCAGAGATATCTTGGTAAAGGTTTTGTTCCACGAGCAGGCATAAAACGCTTCGTCAACATGGACAAAACATGCGGTGATAAGTGAACGCAACGTAATGCGCTCCTCATACCAGTTTGCATTTTAAATTAAAACTTTCTGCAATATCTTCAAAATTAACGTATTCCCAAAAGTAAATCAATCAAATTATTAATCATACTCAGCATGAACAAAGAGAGCTAACGTAATCCTTATTTGTTATGCAAACATATCATCCTGATATCAAAAACAAAAGATGAAGATGAATTAAATTAACTAATTAAATTAACGCTCTGCGACAATCCATATATGACATGAAGATACAATAAAAGAAATTGAGATTTATTTGTTCGGATGAATTTTATGCAAAATGATAAATCTTTATCAAAAATCACATTTTTACGAAAGACATCAAAATTTATGAAATAATAAATGAATTGTACAGGAAATTTTACATTTCTAGACCAATTTCACTATTATTTCACTTCTTGAAAAAAAATCGAAGCACCTCTTATAACTCAGTTACATAACAATAAAGATTAGGAAGGAAGCATCTAATTGATACGATTATATGAAGCTGATAAAAGAATAAATGTTTTGAGCAACTCTATTCAGGGATCATTAAATGAAGACAAAAATAGAATTGAACAATTTTGCTGGTAAACCATTTTGCCATAGTATGAATGTAATATTTTTGTTAAAATTTGGTACAAAATCTATGTCAAAAACACTAAAAGTGAGTGTCATCATTGAATTACTGCTAACAATATGACATCAATTATTCAGTTTAAGAAAATAAGAATGTATAATGACACAATAGTAAACAGCATGAACATTTCACAGCAAAACTTCAAAAAGAAAAAGATGTATTTGCTATCACAATCAAAACTTAGTTATCATTTCCAGTAATACAACAGTATGTAAGAAAAATATCCTTCCCATATAGAATTCTTCTAAATGTTTTCAATTGGTTTAATGAAGCTACTTCATAATAAATTTCAGCAATTCTTCAATTTCATAATCTCTGTTCCCCACATAACATAGATTGCATTTTCTCCCAAATTTTTCACCAATGAAATGAATAATAATCGCGCAAAATATTGCTAATCACTAGTTAAGCACTGGAAATTTGATAACTTTTAGAAATGCACAGAAGAAGTAGTAAAAAATTTCGATTCTTCCTTTTTGAGCATTTTCAAAAGACGATCGACATGTGCGCTTGCTGATGCGCGCGTCACAAATGGGCTTAACACACAGTGTAATTCATAATTCGAGGTAACCTGGAGGAACTTTTTTTTTTGTAACACAATAAACAATAATTTAAACTCCTTTCTCAACTTAAATTTAAAGCAAACCAGTAACGATATCCTGCAGAAGTCACTTTCAGTATAATAGAGATGAGTATCCCCTCATCTCATATTCAATTCCTCGCAAAGTCTTTTCAATAGATAGATTGAAACTAATGAATGGGTAAATGTAAATCTTCTTCGAAAGAATCTTCAACTATTCTTGGTAAGCAATTGTGCCATGAATAGAAATGAATTTCAGTGCTTAGGATATTTGGACTCTTGTAATATTATCGTAATTTTCTTCCGTTGCGATCCTAATTCTATTTGACATAATATATAACAAAATTTGAAGTTCTTTATACTTTTATGTCATCATAACATCTGATCGTTCATGCACTTTAACTCATCATTATATAAGGCACATCAACTTCATAAAATAGGCTTTCGACATCAGTCTATTCTTATCAAACTGAAAGTAATTCAAATAATGTGCCAGATTTTGCACTGAATAAATGAAAACATAAGCTTACATTAGACAGCAAGCAACATTCTGGTCTTGTAATGAATAAATGCCTCAGACTAGGTGTTCGCATCGCATAACCAAACATCTTTTTATAATATTCTTGCAACTTCCAGCGTTCACTTTTACTGATAAATGGCAATGAATGCTGTGAACAACATATTTGGCTTGAGCAGCGATTCTTATAAGTAAAATGCCATAAATCCGAAGGAACATCCTATAAATATCTTGCATTTCTTTGATGAAGTTCAAATTTCCATTAATGCCTCGAATTTTGAAACTGCAGGGGGTCACCTTACTCATTGCTGGCAGTGTTAGCTTAGCATGCAATTCAATTTGGGTGTTTCAACAGAAGTGACAAAGAATCAGAGTTGTCGGAGCATGGCGAAATATATTTTCGAAACATTCAAGGAAAGAATATTTTTCGACATAAACCGAATTAGCCGAATAAAGTGCAGGAAACATTCTTATCCAGACCCATAAATTAGTTTCGCTGAAAGGATTCATGTGCGATCGTGTCAAGCTGACATAAAATTTAAGAGAGATTATAGAAATTGCTGCATTGAATGCCCACACAATTTTGACGATACTTGTCATTTACCGATTTGCCAACCAAATCCTTTCATTATTTTGTGTTGCGCTTATCGCATACATAATAGAAATAAAATACCGTTTGAATATCGAAAAAAGAAGGATTCTCCACAGCATTCTTTAATGAAGTACATAACTTCGATGAACATAACTTAGTAATAATCGTTTCTTTCACACCACGAAGTGTTTCAAATGCACCACGTTCCAATGATAACAGCAGCAAACACGCGCTACTGCCTTCCCAGATAAAAGAAACATAGGCATAAAGAAATCCCCTAAATTATTTTACATACAAATCACAGAAAGGTTTCATTTAAAAAAACAGGTACGGCTTTAACTAAGAACATCGCAGCTGCTTTCCAGCATAATTTCAAGCTTGGACAACGTCAAAGATATTAATCCATAAATGAATTTTATCATATATCAGTTGGTCAATAAAAAGTGAGTGAACTGAAAAATATTCTGGCATATATTACAGACACCCCCGATACAATATAAACAACAAATATAATTTTCTGTCATGCAATATGAGAGTGAGGCTTCACTCTTCACCTCAGTTATGTTAGATGTTTGGGAATGCGACAGACATCACAGATGGCTAGTTGTTTGCTTTCAAAATGATGGATAAAAGAAAGTTGAAATAAATTATGTCCTAAGAAAGAAAAACCAAGCTATGCATGGAAAAACATACGTATCGTTAAATTGTGGTAAGCATATTGGTATCCAATTATCAGCATTCTTCAATGACGGGTTGCAATCGATAAGATTGATAAGAAGATGTAAATCGCATGGATTTAATGCGATACCCTTCATCCGAACCACTGTGATCAGCTGTCGATTAGCTATAACCAATCCGTATACGATATTTCCAACCTAAAATGAGATTATTAAAAACAAAACAAAAGTAGGGAACGTTAGAGCTACAATACGTATAAGATGCAATAAATCATGTACGAAAATGGTATGAATCTTCAAATATGCAGAAAAATAAAAGTCAAATTTGAACAACTTAACTTTGCACTATTGACTGCCGATACAATTGCACTTGTGAATTGCTCCCGATCTGCAAAAGCCATAGGAAATATCCGAATTGAACGCATGAAAACTGCAATGTCATTCCTGTAACCGCATACTATGGCATTCAAATGTCGATCTGTACCTGAAAAAATATTTTCCACGCATACAATAGACAAAAGAAATGTTGGATGTTAGAGAAAAGTACGAAATCGAAGTGATAAATACTACTTTCTATCTAACATCCACTTAATTTAGTCTATGCCTCCCTATGGCATGATTTCCACTTTCTCTCTGACACACTCAAAAAAGTATAAACGGCATGGCGAAACACATACCTCTGAGCAAGAATCGCAAATCGAAATTAGGTCCTTTAGTTTGAAAAATCGAAATCAACTGATCCCGACAAATTATTGAAAGCATCTGAATTGCAGAATTTTTAGCTACGCCAAAATCTCATAATTATGCACTTACATATTGGGATGAAGTAAATATGGCCATGCTTTTCCGCCGTCCAGTCCTTCTACACTACCGTAAAGCAGAAGAAATTAGCGAGTTGGACATTATAGAATTTCAACTTTAATTTAATATAAATTATAACACAAAGTATTCCAAAAGTACTCCCTAAACTATCAAATTAGCGGAGGAAAAGTCACCTGTTTGTAAACAAGATCCACCTGAGCATCCAGTTGAAACCCGTCACGTGAAACAATACATAAAATAAGTGGACTTCGATAGGAGAACGAAATTTGCATATGAGCTGAACGAATTCGTTTAAGACTGTCATTCCATGAAGTAACAACCATAACGAATGTTTGAATGAGTGCAATAAGTGAGCATAATTGCTCTTCATGCCCACAGGAGGCGAAGATTGGTTTGCCAACTTCCGACAACACAAATACCTTAAGAAGACAGAGATGAATTAATAATGAAAAAGTCGAAAAATTAGTAGTACTTCAGGAATTAGTTGGGGTAAAAGTGCCCATGTAAATCTTTTTAATAATACCGTAAATTCACGACGTGCCAATTCATCAAGCAAAGCTTCATCATCACATCTGTTTTCCTCATATGCTCCGTCATCAGCTAACCGTAATCCCTGAAAAACCATTCACTGCAATGAAACCAGAAACTCCTCTGCAGAATATAGAACGGAATCCAAGTACTATGAAATTAACAGAAAACAAACTGCTGCAGTCTTGTCGAGGTCAACATCAAGTTCCTCGTTTGTTTCAGGTATATTTGTGCCACCAGGCACTGCTGATGCCACTTCAGGTTCAGAATCCAGCTTCAATAATCCATCCAGCTCGTCGTCACATTACCAATAACGACGCAATCCTAGCTACTTGAAAGGTGCTGTATAAAGGCAGAAAATTCTTCCCAGAATTTTGAAATAGAGATTGCAAGATTGCAATTTGTACTCTTTACCTTCGAAATTAATTCCAAATACATTTTACTAGTTAGCATCCCTTCATTCAATCACGCTTAATCACTAATCCCTCTGCTTACCCTAAATTCATTCGTGAAAAAATATTTTATGTACAAGAAAATGCCAACTTCAGCAGTTTGCGCTCCATATTGTATGCCTAAGGAGACAGTTGAAATTTTAAAATTATTTCAGTGAGAAGGCTTGTAAACTACAGCAATAACCTGTTAGTCTGCATATCATTAACCCGCTGAGAATTAAATATTCCAAGTTATAAAACACTTGAAATAAGAATAATAATGTCCCAATAATTTGACATTTTCGGAATGTAGACGGTTAGGTTCAGAATTGCAGTAAATTTATTTACATGATGAATGTCATTACTATGTGATGTTACAATTGAAGTATTGTACATACAAAACGAAAGTGCTATCAAATAGTCACAATCCCGAATAAAATAATAACAACTAAGCGATTTGCCAAGATGTAGTAGAGCATAATATATACACATTTCTTATCATATTTCATTTATTTAACATGAATCAGTCCTCATATTTAATTTATTTAACATGAATCAATTCTATCGTTTTCTTAGAAATTTACAATTTCATTGTTCTAAACGCTTACCATCACTGTGGACATTGGATAAGTACACCCCTAATACCGAGGAATGCCAAGAGCGATACTACGAGTTTTTTCTAATTTCTATCAGGTACAACTGTAATTTTTGCATAAAACCTGCACTGCAACACGGCAATTTTTGAAGTTCATAGTATACCAAGCTAAAGGATAAGCATAAGAAAAACAAATACATTTAAAAAAACAAATACAATACATTTTTTTTGAATTACTTATATCAGACCTACTTACATTCTACTTTTATTGTCAGACAAAAAAAGAAACATCCACCATTGTTTCACGATCCTGACAAAGAATTGCAGTACTTGTCTGTCATCCCAATGTTTTCGGAAATATTCACAAGATTCATTTATATCACATCTGCTTACATTCTATTCACATTATAGACAAAAAGACAAATTTATTTTATGACCGCCTAATTAAAGCTTCGCATAACAAAAACTGGTTGAGCCCTGCTATGAACCCAATATAAAAGAAAAACTTATATATATCCGAAATCTTAATTAGCATTGGCAATTTGCGCACGCTAATAGAAAATTTCTCACTTTCTGGTCTCTAAGGAACGAGTCGGTTCATCCTTCCTGTATGTGTGTCAATTACCATCTTTCTCCAATAAAGTCTGGATGTTCTGCAAAAAACGAAACCTTAGACCAAGGAATATGCATAAATACATCTAATTCAGGTTATCATAAAAAAAGCATATTAGGGGAGTGTTCTTATTATTCAACCCAATCCCTTGAAAAAGTAGGACTTAAAGGAGAGTTCTAGCATAATATTATGATATTAAATTGGAATTCAAACGCACCTTTTGTAAAACTAGATTTTTCGACAGCGTTTCCTCAAGCATACGCTGTAATCGTCGATTCATATCACGTATATCAGCAGCTGATTCATCCATACGAACCATTTCGAGCACGCGACGAAACCGCAAACCTTAAATGACCAGCGGTTATCACATATGAAAAGA